ACAAAAACTGCTCCTTTATATACACCCAGGGAGCTGAAGACTAACAAGAAGCAGGTGTGGTCATCAGTAAGTGAGACCAGGTGTGAAGGAAGCAGAAAATCAAAACCAGTTGACTAAAACGAGCACCAACACAAATAAACAAGAGCAAAACACCATTAAACAAAAAATCTGGAAAAGCAGAAAACGATGACAAAACAAAGTATTAGTCATACAAAATGTTACAAGCATGAAGTTTTTATAACTAAACGTCACTTGAGCACATGTGCTGAGATGTTAATTAGATAAAAGTAGAAATATGCAACATTTTCATCTACTTAAGCTTAGTCTTTATTTGAAAATATTCAAATATGATGCCATTTAGGAGGTGCTATTAGAGGCATCAACGGACATACAGTATAATAGTGTGAATATTTATGAAGCATTCACACTATTGTGATCCATTTTTCTTCCGTACGTGTTTCAGCATTTTTCTCGTTCTACAGTTTTTGTGCCATTTCAACAAACCATAAATCAAAACGCTCAGCTCGTTCAGGAGAATGGTGCTATGACTGTGTTGATGCAACTTTAGCTTTTTGAAATTTTTAGCCTTTTCTGCCACTTTTTTCCCCCATAGAAAATTAATTGAGCTCATTTTACATCCTTCAAATCTTTAGATTTGTTTACAGCTTTTTACTGCATCTTTCACATTTTGTTCTGCTTCAGCTTCCTTGTGCAAGTTTAAATTTTTTCCAGCTACTTTTAGCTAATTTCAGCTGTTTCGTGCTCCTTTCAGATTCTTTCTGCTATCTACAACATTCTTGAGTTTCTTCTGACTTCTTTCTGCTGATTTCAGCTCGGTATGCTCCTTTCAGCTTATTTCTGCAAGTTTCAGCTTTTTCTCTGCTATGTCAGCTACTATTTAGCTGTTTTATGTTAATGTTAGCTTTTTCAGCTAGTTCCACAATTTTTGAACTAATTTAAACTTTTTCTGCCTAATTCAGCAAAAATGTGATCTCTCCAATTTCTTCTGGAAATTTAAACTTCTTTCTGCTTTTTTTTTTTTAAGCTACTTTTCATTTGGTTGTGCTAAATTCAGCTTTTTCCAGATAATTTTCACTTTTTTGTGCACATTTCTGCTTCCTTCAGTCTAATTTGACAAACATGTTCTTTCCGTTTTCTTCTGCTAATTTAAGCTTGTTCAACCTGTTCAGCTACCGTTTTAGCATTTTCTAGCTAATTTTGGCTGTTTTCAGAGAGAGTCAGAGAGTCAGAGTTTCTTTATTGTCGTTCGCACCCCATGTGGTACATGTGGTGGAACAATATTATGTACACAGGGTCCCAGTTACATCCAACAATAAAATGTAAGAGAAAAACGGTAACAATATCTAAGATATGAACTTGGAAAAACGTCAACTAAAGATAAAAGTTTTCAGATAAATGCTAAGTTTTTGTGGTAATTTCTGCCATTTTCAGCCTAATTAACTTCTTTCGGATAATTTCAGCTTGTTATTCTCCTTTCAGCGTAATTATGCTAGTTTCAGCCTTTTCTGCTATTTCAACTACTATTTAGCAGTTTTTATGCTAATTTTAGTTTTATCAGCTATTTCCACATTTGTTCGCTAATTTCAGCTCTTTCCACTTCATTCTGATAGTTTAAGCTTCTTTATACCTTTCAGCTACCTTTTAGCCATTTTTTCCTAATTTCAGTCTTTTTAGCTAATTTCCTAATTTTTGTGCTAATTTCTGCTTATTTAAACCTATTTAAGCAAATAAGTGTTTTTTTCTGCTTTCTTATGCTAATTTAGGCTTGTTCTTCCATTTCAGCTACATTTCAGCATGTGTTTTAAATCATTTCAGCTGTTTCTCAGTAAGTTCTTATGCAATAAGCATTCACACTGCATTTTCGCAGGAAATGTAATTTCTCTAGTTACTGTAATTTTCGCCGTATAAGTCGCAGTTTTTTGTGTAAATTAGCATGCCTGCGATTTACACAACGAAGCGACGCATTTGTTTTTTCTCCATATTTATAATCCAATTTTTGTCTGAGATCTGATGATTTCATTCATTCTGACATGGAAAATATTGAACACTACCATTTTCAGCCACTAGAAGGCCCTCAACTAATATGGCAAGCCAAGTGTCTCATTAATAGGTAAAAGTGGCTATTAATGAGACACTTGGCTTGCCATACAAAGCCACCTTCGTCTCGCTTCGGAACTCCAGGAGCAAACGTCAAATCAGCTGCATTTCGCCACGCTGCCCAGGTGAAATGCAGCCGATTTGACCATTAAAGTGCATTTATTAAGAAAAAGTTAAACTGGGACACACCTTTACTATAATGATGAGCAAACAAATAATTGTTTTTAGGTGGTTATCTTGTTAGATTTTGAAGAAATGCACAGCGAGTCGTGCCTCTGCGCACTCCCAAGGCTGCGAATCGGCTTTTGATATACAGCTGATTTGACCATTAAAGTTAATTTATTAAGGAAAAGTTAGACTGAGACACATCTTTGCTATAATTTCAAGCAAACAAATTATTGTTTTTAAATGCTAATCTTGTTAAATTCTTGTTAAAGTCCTCACGTGCACGCTTCTGCGGCCGACATTTGGCAGCCTATTTATTTTTGGCACAACACCGGCCCACGTTTCCGGGCGGTCAGCGGTGACGCATAATAGATGCAACTTATACGGCAAAACATCATATTTAAGTTTGTTTCCACTTTATTAGACATATTTGGACTAATGCGACTTATACGGCGTTGCGACATGTACGGCGGCAAGTACGGTATATTATATATTTATGTAGGACTAGACATTACAGCTATAGACTGTATTCAGTCAGAGGCTGAGAATATTGAGTAAAGTGGAAGTTTCACCTGATTCAAAATAAAAATAAAACAACTTTGTATTGAGCAAGACTCGTTTTTAATGAACTTCCAGTCAAAGTGATTAATGAAGCTGGGTTCACTGGAGGTTAAAAAAATCCAAATCCTCCACCTTGAACTGATTAAATCCTACTTTAAATAGTCCAGTTCACGTTTACAAAAAATCAAAACAAGTTCCTTTGGGGTTCCAGTGAATTACAGCCATGTTTCTGATTAACACCCAGCAGTTCTGCTCAGTTTCGGTGAAGTTGTCTGGTTGAGTTCCCCTGACTCGTATCCATTTCCACCAACAGTTGAGACTTCTAATGAATGCAAAAGTCACTACCGCCCACTAACATCTGGCTTTTGTCTTCCCTTGACAGGAGTGTTACTGTTAACTTCTGAGTCAGACGGCTCCAAATTTGTTTTAAAAACTTGTTGACTCACCAGTTAACAGAAAATGTATCTAGAAATAGTCTAACAGCGCTGCAATTAAACAGGTCTGATTCTGTTCTGGACATCACTGCACTTCTTTAAAAAGTCTTCAGTTGATCCAAAATGCTGCTGCCAGAGTCTCAACTGGAGTTAGTAGGAGACATTATATCTCTCCAGTTTTATCTTCTCTCTATTGGCTCTTTGTCAAATCCAGAATTATATTCAAAATCTTACTTCTAACCTACAAAGCCCTCAACAACATAGCTCCAGCTTATATTCAAGATCTTATTGTCCCATATTTTCCTAACAGAGCACTTCGCTGTCAGACTGCAGATTTACTTGTGGTTCCTAGAGTTTCCAAAAGCAGAATTGGAGGAAGATCTTTCAGTTATCAGGCTCCTCTCTTGTGGAACCAACCTCTAGTTTCTGTCCATGAGGCTGACATGTTGTCCAGCTTTAAGACTGGACTTAAGACTTTCCTTTTTGATAAATCCTATAGTTAGGGTTGGCTTGTTATGCTGCTATAGACTTCGACTACTGGAGGACAAATTGACCACATTTCTTAAAATGAATTGTTAAAATTGAATAGTTTTCATTTGATACTATTTCTATCTTAACATGTGATTCTTGACCTGCCATTGTGTATCTATTCCTCTCAAACCCATGCTCTACACATGCTCACAGTCAGGAAATTACTTTTTCAGGGAAGGCCTTGCACATTTCAGCAAAACAATACTAAACCACATACTGGATGCATTCCAAAAGCATGGTAGCATAGTTCAGGTGCCTGCATGCAGTCCTGACTTCTCAGGGTATTTTTTTGTTTTTAAATGTTTCACACATAATGAAAAAAAAATATATATAATGCAGCAAAGAAGAGCCAGGACTGTTAAACAGCTTGAACCCTAAATCAGACAAGAACATTTCCTCTAAAACCTCCAGAAATTCCTTACAACAACATTTACGACGTTTACAGGCTGTTGTAAAAAGAACGGGGGGGGGGCTTTGCAGTGGTCAACAGAGCTTGTTCCAATTTCCTGTCCCAACTCTTAGATTTGTTGCCACCTTCAAATTCCAAATTACCTTATTTTTTCCACATAAAACACCACAATTTATTAATTTAAATATTTCAGAAGTTTACTATCTTCCATTGTGACTAAAATATGAATGTATGAGATCTGCAAATTGTAGCATTCTGATGTATTTAAATTTTACACAGCGTCCCAACTTTTCATCGTTGTAATTATAAGTTAGAATAAATTTTGCGTACGTTTTATTTATTTTTTATGCAATCAGTCAGAAGGCTGAATGTGAGTAAATGGGACTGGGAGAAAGCGAAAGAAAGAAAAGGAGTTTGTCTTTGCAGCTCTGTGAGCAAAGCTTCACAGGACCTATCATTACCAGATGTCCCAGTAAGAGGGACAGCTGGCCAAAACGCTGCCAATTTCCTCAAACTCTCTGCCTCTTTTTCTTCCTCTACCTTTCTTTCTCCCATTTTCTCTATTCTCGCTCTCCCTCTCACACACTCCCTGCTTTTTTCCCTCTTCTCCACTTCCAGCTGTTTTTGGCGCCCGCATCCAGAACGAGGGAAGTTCTCCACCAATTGTCTAAGTCCAGAGAGAGGAGCTCGGTGGTTGGACCCCACCCCCCTTTCTGTCTCTCCCCTCTCTGTGTGCTGTTGCTCCCCTTTTCCATGCGTTTTTCTCTCCTCCCCTTGTTGTGAGAGAGCACACCTGCTTGGTTTTGGCTGCTTGCGGTCCGATTCCAACGACCCCATAGGCCCTGTCAGACACTTTACAATCTCATCCCCTGACTTGACTGGATTTTGGAAGTCAAGCTCATCTCCCCGGCTTCAGTTCTCCCTGTCTGGCTTCTACTGAGAACAGGTAGGTCAATCTTTAATTTAATGAAACTTTGAATAGGCTTGGAACATTCTCTTTGGGGATCACTAAATTTCTGCATTATCTTATAGTTTTTTTGTTTTTTTTTGTTCCTTCCACAAGTGGGTTTGGAGATAAAAAATAACATCTGGGTCCACGTCTGCACGGATCTGTGTTCAAGACGATTTAAAGCGTCTTTCTCTTTTTATTAGGAATTATATTGCTTGTGTTGTAATGTTCCAGATACATTGCCAAGGCTTGTTCCCACCGCGCTCTTGATTTTGTGATGAGAGGCTTTAATCAGTCCAATCTGCATGCAGCACAGTGAAAAGAGCAGTGGCTTAGAAAGGGGGTGTGGTAGAGCTGCTCAGGCTGGTACTCCCCTTCTTTGCCAGAAAGTTTATTCTTTAGGCCTTTCAAAAGTTTCCAGAATATCCACATTGCACGTCCAGATGATGCTTTAGTTCTTCAGTTTGCAGCTTCAGCTTGAACCCATTTGTTGCATTCTGTGGAACTGGTTGAAGTCATTTGTTTGGATGGAATCAATATGTGCGTTTCTCAAACTGAGTGTTAAGAAATGCTCAAAGGGTTCCAGTAAACCTTTTGTTTTTCCACCCTCTGAGCAGAATTTTAAAGCACGTCTTTGTGTTGATTCACCTCATTACAGCTGGGATGGAAAAGTTGTTTGTGGGGCTCCTTGTACTTTCCATTTCAGCACTTTTTTTTTTAATTTTATGACTGCAACCAAACTATTTTAACCCCAGTCGTTTGTCTGCTCAGCAGTCGTGTTTCTAGTTATTATGAACCTCCTCTGTCCGACGGGGGCTTTTTGCTGCTGTGTTTTCACAGAAGCAGACCCAAATTGCTCAGGGCAACTTTAAAGTAAGCGTCTTTGAACAGGAGATGAATAAGGGTTCCACCTGGCAACACACATTGCAATCAATCCCATAATGGTGCAGCTTCCTCTATCAAAAAAAAAAAAAAAAAGGTCTTAAGACTCTGAGGTAACGTCACATCCCTGTTGCCATCAGAGCAAACTCTGAACGTGGCTCAACTTCACAGAAGAGCAACCCAACAGATCTTGAACAGAACTGGTGCTAATAAATAATAAACTTGGAGCAATAAAGTGTTTACACTTCTGAAATGAGCACACTGAAGGCTGGGGGAGACTCGGGTCTTGCAGACTTCATCTCTCCGAGTCAAAAAGAGCAAAACACCAAAGGGATCGAACTGACGTCAGCCACGAGGATTCTTTTTCCGCAACAAATATTCCTCACAAAGTTCAATATCTGAGCTTTTTTAGACAAAGTCTTAAAGTTCAAAAGGGAAAAGGAAATGCCAGAAGCTTTGGAGCAGCATGGAGCACAGACTGGATGGAGTGGGTGGAGCTGGGTCCATATCTGACTGATAATGGGACAGAGGTTGACCACAGCTCTTCTTGTGAAACCACTCAGTGAACTTCTCATTGCACTATAATATAATGCTTTTAAAGCCCCTAAATGATATTTTACTCATAGTGGGAATATTTTTCTTCAATTGCTGGCTTTAGACATAATTAACATAGTTCGTGTTGTCAACTAGATGCTTTGTAAAAGAGAAAAACAACTGGCAGATTGAAGACCAACCATTCTTTGCCATTTCAATGGTTAGATTAAAAAAAAGATGACTTATTTTCTTTCAGTTAGCATTAAGTATGTTTTTATGAAACCACATAGGACGAAAGCTTCAGTTCGTTTGCTGATGGATTGAAAAGGCTGCATGTGTTTTAAATGTCCCGTGGCCTTGTAAATACCTTCCAGTGATTAATTGCCGGTAGACGCTCTTCAGAGGCAGAAGCAGACCTGAGGGGAGTTACAGGGAAGGGGAAAGGTTGCAGACAAACGTGGGGCCTGGTACTTATCGCAAGCTTTCTGATTTCTTCTTCATAGTTTGATTTGGTCAAATGAAGTTTTCACACTTCAGTGGTTTGACTGGTCTTCCTGCAGGTATGAGTTTCTGAGCTTGTGCATCATGAAAGGCAGGAGAGGAGCGACAAGCAACGAAAGGAAAATTACTCTCCTCCCTCGTGCAAGTTCTGCTTCCTGTCTGGGAATCATTAAAGGACAGATTTGGGGAGGGTGTGGAGGGATAGGAAACAAAAAGGGGAAAGGATGGTGCTGTCAGAAAATGTCATCCTCCACGTCTTTTCTCTGGTCACTCATGTTGATAATAAATTCCTAAAATAAAATAAAAGAAAATCTAAACTTTTTGTAATTTTGTCACAACTTTCCAGATGTCACTTATAACAATAGTTTAATAGCATTTCTGCTGCATCAGCATGCACTTCCAAATCTGTTTCACTGTAAAATCCGTTGTTTTTAACCAAGTTGATTTAGTCGGTTGATACATTGCAAAGCAGTGGATGAGCACTCCGGTTCTTACTGGTTTGTCTTATAAATTAAGTCTGCTCCACTTCCATTTTAAACCCCTAAAGGAACCATCCCAACAGGACCCCGTCGTGTTACTGGAATCAGTCAGTGCTGACCTGAATCGTTGCACAAGGACTGTGGGATTGATGGTTTCATAAATAATGTATAGCCATGCAAATTTCACAGGTGTTTGATGAACACTGTCAACACATGTTCTAGCTAACGGCCAAAAATCCCTCCAAAATTAAACTGTAGGGCGTTCATAAAGCGATGCATCGTTTTCAAAGCTAACACTGATGAAACCTAAGGTTAGCTCAAAGTCATGTTCCAGCATGTTGCTTTGACAGCTCTCTGAGCTGAGCACACATGCACGGTGTTTGATGAGCTGGTGTTGAATGTACTGGGTTTGGAAGTGTGTGCACTGATGGAGGGGAAAGGGGGTGGGGTAGGAGAAGTGGCCATTTTGCTCATCTAGTGCATCTGAGCTGACTAGTAATGAAGGAACTGATGCCTAGAACACAGCAGGTTGTCTCCAGACCTTCATCCCAGCTGAGAAAGCCCTGAAAGGCATGGATTTCAACCAGTTTGGAAATATGCTGGCAATCTAGAGTAGCAGAAACACCATGAGTGACCACCTACATTTTATTACACATGTACTATTATTTATATAAAAAGGGTAAAATTGTCTCTTTTTTTACTTTAAATCCAAACACCCTCTAAAATATAAATTGCATAAACCTTACTTTGAAGCTCCACTTACAAAATGCCAGTTGATTTCTAAGCAATACGTTTCCAAAACTTGCCATTCCTGGTTTTATTTTATTGTGAGGTACAAAACAGTTTTATTTTTGTCTGTGCAAAAACATGCTAATAAAGAAATCACTGTCTTACCTGCCTGGCATCCATAAAGGTCTACTAAGAAATAAACAAAAGTCTGACAGATTGATTTCTGGACATAGAAAAATCCAACAAAGTTCAGTCAGGTCATCTGGACGGTTTCTTTCTTCTTCTTCTTCTTCTTTTTTGAGACATTTCGTCCATCATCCAAAGCACTTCATCAGTCAAGTGTGGGCTCCTCGAACTGTTTAAATCCTTTGGATGAAGGACGAAACATCTCAACAACAATAAAAAGAAACCGTCCAGATGACTTGACTGAACTTTGTTGGATATTCTACCTGGATTATTGAGCATGACCTTTGATGGTTTGAACCACTTTGGCTATGGCTGCCTCGGAGGAGTCGACAGGGGGACAGGGTGGGCTCCAGAAATCATCTTATCACCAGCAAACTGCTTGGTCCACTATGTGGGTTTGCTGCATGTGGGACTCAGTTTGTTGTGGCTCCTAGGACTGATGAAGTCCTTTGGATGAAGGATGAAACGTCCAAAAAATAAATGTCCAGATGACCTAACTGAACTTCGTTGGATTGATTTCTGGACTTGAGGAAAAAATATCAGAAATTCTGCATCAGTGCATTTCTATTTATGCACTAGTGAGCAAAGGTCAAAGCAAAGGTCAAAGCAGAAAGATTAGGCTCAGTAATCAGCAGTCAGCTATATTTTCTGTTTCTGGCTCCCAGGCTGCGTGGACACTTAGACTGTTTGACCCTTCAGAACAAGTCAAATGTGAGGAATTTACAACCTCACAGCAAGCTCAACCAATCTGGCAATGATCGATAGAGAAATATTTTCTTATTTTGGTGCTGCAGCGTTGGTGCCAAGTGTTTTGATTCCAATCTGGCTTCCAAAATGGCTCAAATAGCTATTGAAGAGCTAATACAATCACTGTTTGACCTTTGGATGCCTTGAATCTCCAAAGAAAACTGCAAACAAAGTTTTGGTTGGCTTGACCATCAGCTCTGCTTAGATAAGAGAACTAAACAGAACTGAGTTGAGTCAGGCTGTTGAACACTGAGGCCATCCTCTGGATCTGGTGTACGTCCAGACTGCAGCTTTTTATCATGCATCTACAGAGTTTTTAGACATTTGGGAAAACCATCTTTATTTTAAATACTGACACCATTCCTAATTCCAGTACAATTCCTCTGAGTATGGGAACGTGTGGACGTGCAGTCTGAAAGCGCTGCAGCGCCTGAAACAAAGACGAACAGTGTGAGGAAGCTCGGGCTGTTTTGTGGACTTGAACTCTAATTACTGCCTGCGCCGAGAGTCACCGAGCTGTGATGCCGATGGTTGACCTGAAGTGAACTTTAACTGGATTTACACCATGTCAGCACATCATTTTCTCCCCACTTTCCTTTCTCACACACTCTCTGTGAACTATTTAAAGATTTTAACCCACGCTTTCCCTGCATTTTACTGAATTATTCCTCCATATCAGATGCGTAGAGGTATAATGCGGTGAAGAGACGGTTGCATCCACGCACATTTAAAAAAATACGACTTTTTAATTAATGCTTTAGAACAGAGTAGCACACATTCAAATGAAAAAAATAAAAATCAAAGACGCAGCCCACGAGCATAATCCTTACAGAGCATATAAATCTACAGAAAGTTTGCTTTTAAGCTCAGTCAACTGATGGTTTTGGGACGGTTTCCTCATCCTGATCATGGTGTTTGGGTCAAGGTCCACTGCAGCTGCAGATCAAACCAGCCCTTCAATTATTGTGGCACCGCTTTGGAAGGAACAACCGGCATATTGCTGGCTTTTGTGTGTGTGAGAAAAAAAAATGCTGTACTGGAGCTAAAAGGTCAGGAAGTTTGTATAGACGTGTGCAGTGTGCCCGAGCTTAAGAGGCATATGTGTTTCCTTCTTGTGCTTTGGCTCACGCTAATAAAATGCTTGTCAAAATTAATAATACACCTTGTTTGAACAGAAGAAAAATGATTAATGGTTGCAACTGGAAAATTTGCTGCAACACGTTCCATGAGGGCAGCACGGTGGTGCAGTGGTGGAGCTGCTGCCTCTTTGAGAAGGTCACAGGATCACCTCCCCAGTTAGCGTTTGTCTGTATGGCGTTTGCATGTGCTCCCTGTGCACATGTGGGTTTTCTCCTGTCCCTGTAATGGACTGGAGACCTGTCCAGGGTGTCCCTGCCTCTCACAGTGGCTGCTGGAGACAAACACCAGCCCCCCCCCCCACGTGCACACCCAGTCACTTTTTGTGTTCAGTGGAAAAGGGGAAATAAATGCAGAGGACAACTAAAGTTGTAGAAGTCAGGCAAAAATAATGCATATCATTTCAAAAGCTTGAGCATCTCTCTCATCAAAACTAACCACAGGTAAAGATGGAATGAGTATTTAATTTCTTTACATTAACAAAAGTACTGGCACAAAGAAAGAACTTTAGGAATACTCCATCAAAGGTAGGAGTCCTCATCATCTGTGTCATGATCAGCAAGTTTGTTATTCTTCTTTTTGACATTTGATGTGAACAATTAGGAAATAAACCTTTAGTTGTTAAGTTTCCGTGATCTGGGCTGCGGCTATGGCGCAGGGGTTAAGAGCGTGGCCCATGTTCGAGGCTAGTCCTCATAGCGGCATTGCGGGTACGAATCCCAGTCCTGATGACCTATCCGCAATGTCTCTCCTACAACAAAAATTGGCCAGTAGAGCCGAAAAATAAAAAAGTTTCAGTGATCTACAAAAGGTCCCTCACCAAAGATTATTTTTCCTAAGCTCATAGAAGGTGAAGTATGGACATGAACAGATCACGAGCAGCTATTCCGACCAACAAACAGGAGGATCTGACAGAGTCTGAGTAAAACCAAGGAGCTTATATACACAGGGAATGGGTGGTTAGTGATGGAGAACAGGTGTACTGATTACCAACGAGGGTGTAGAGGGCGAGGAAATAACAACTGAGGAGAACGCCGAGCAAGAGAAGCACCTCATGATACCAAAACAACAAAAAACAGACTGAAAACACTAAATCTTTGACCCCATAACAATCTACTGTCTGAATGTAACAAAGTAGAATGAAACGGAAATACTCAAGTAATGTATTAATACTTCACATTGTACTATTTATTCATAAATACTTCACGTAAGTGCCAGTTTTTGAACAATCGTGTTTTGTTTTTAATCCTTCTAAATTCCGCTGAAGCTGTCTTTTCTGGTAAAAGCAGAATTGTGAAATGTTTTTATTTGGCAGCGCAGCGGTCCATGCTCTGTGACTTTTCACCTTCTGCCAGAAACAGACCAGAGTACTGTGGTATTTGTCCAACCTCAATAAAGTTTTTCACCGATGTGTTTAACCATGTTCCTGCTCTTCTCACCTTTTGTTTGTAGCTTCTGGGTTGGAGTTTTCCTCGTTTAGCTTCTCTCACACTACATCTTTCTGTCTGTCTTTGATTAGCTGCAGAAATACAATGATACAAGTGATAATAAAAGATCTTTACTGTTTTTTATATTACAGTGCGAGATGTTTCAATAGCAGGAATAATTTCAGTTTCTCATATATCCTGATTCCTGCAGGCTCTCTGCTTGTGGCACCATGAGGACGGCCTGTCTCTCTTTGCTCCTGGTCACGGCCTGCTGGGCTCTGCCCTTCCATCAAACTGGTTTCCTAGAGTTTATGATGGAAGATGAACCTGGATCAGGCGTGATCTTACCGCCTGAAGAACCTGAACCTCCTAAGGTCACTGAAGAGCCCAAGTGCCCATTCAGATGCCAGTGCCACCTGCGTGTGATCCAGTGCTCCGACCTCGGTAAGACACACACCTGCAAGGGATACAAATTTGAAAAATCTTAAATTTTTTCTGAATGTATTGCAATAAGAGTCTTAACTGGAGTTAGTGGGAGAGATCATATCTCTCCAGTTTTAGCTTCACTCCATTGGCTCCCTGTCAAATCCAGAATTGAATTCAAAATCTTACTTTTAACCTACAAAGCCCTCAACAACCTAGCTCCATCTTATATTAGAGATCTTATTGTTCCATATTTTCCTAACAGAGCACTTCACTTTCAGACTGCAGGCTTACTTGTGGTTCCTAGAGTTTCCAAAAGCAGAATAGGAGGAAGATCTTTCAGTTATCAGAATCCTCTCTTGTGGAACCAACTTCTAGTTTCTGTCCATGAGGCTGACACATGGTCCAATTTTAAGACTGGGATTAGGACTTTCCTTTTTGATAAATCCTATAGTTAGGGTTGACTTGTTATGCTGTTATAAACTTAGACTACAAGAGGACAAATTGACCTAATTTCCTTAAATGAATTGTTAAAATTTAATAGTTTTCATTTGATACCATTTCTATTTTAACATGTAATTCTTGACCTGCCATTGTTTATCTGTTCCTACCAAACCCAGCTGGTCGAAGCGGATGGTCGCTTGTCCTGAGCCTTGTTCTGCTAAAGGTTTCTTCCTCATGCAGGAGTTTTTCCTTTCCACTGTCACCTTTGTGCTTGCTCAAGATGAGAGTCTGTAGCTATGTTTACATGGACATCAGCAATCGGATTAAACGGCCATTCGGATAAAATGTGTCATGTAAACCTCTCATTCAGATTATTCTTTGTTGATTCAGCTCGATCCAAATTAATTTGTAATCCAAATGAGAGGGGTAATTTATGCCGATTCATAATCCGAACATTGTGCATGTAAACACTTAATCTGATCATTTTATTCCGATCGTGGAAAACTGACCTGACTGTGCGACCTATGTCTACCTCACGTATTTCCGCCTGGCTAGATGCTAATATGCTCATCGTGAACAGATTGTGCCCATGTACACAATACATTTGGATTATTTTATCTGAATACATTTCAATCCAATCAAAGAATTTTGCGCATGTAAACATAGTTTGCGATGAAGTAAATTCAAAGCCGTCTGCTCCTTAGATAAATAATGTTATTAACTTACTTTTTACGTATATGAATGTTTCTGTTCAGTGCCCTGAGATGACTTCTGTTATGACTTGTTGCTATTTAAATAAACGGAATTGAACTGAATTGAATAATCCAGACACTGGTTGAATAATGGGTTTTATTTGGGCTTCTTGTTACCATATTAATTTCAACAAAAAGCCCAAATTGAAAATCTAAATCCCTCCGTATGCCTGGTAATCTGTTCAAAACCTTTAATCATCATACAACAGATGACAAATAAATATATATATATTTTTTTTTCTTATATTAAGAAAAATTAAGGAATACACAATTACACTATGGATTTGTAAAAGTAGGACATCTTCAAGTTTAGTGAGCAGCAGACACATGCTGTGCTATTAACTGAGGTTTTGATTAACTGTGGCAAACTTCTTTTATATCCTACACCAAGTAGTTCTACCACGATGGATTTGTTTACCCCAATTTAAGTTGTTTTGGTGCCTAAACCTCACCAAACCAGCACCAAAAAAATGTCTGCAGGAGTCTAAAACTGTTGAAGACTGAAACTGCAAAATACCCGCTCTACCCAGGAGTTCAATCCATGTCTCTTTGTAGAAAAATGTAATTCTTAGTGTCTTTTATTTTCCACCAAAAGTGCCTTTTGCATGTCTTAATATTCCCTGAAATGCGTCAGGAGATGCGCTTCTTCTCCAGAACAGAAAAGCCATGTACCCTCCCCCACCTGAAATACTTTCATTTAGTACGGTTTCTGTCAGAACCTGCAAACGTGTAATTTCTGCACCGTATGCGTCTCCGTCCCATTGCGACAACAGTCGGACTTTTTAGTTGACGTGTTTGTGTGAAGTCCGCTTCCACCCCCGCCTCCTCCATTTTCTTTGTTCCTCCTTCGTTAAGCATGTTGGAGCATTCGCTGTCTGAATCACCAAAGGGGAACTTTTGTTTCAAAGCATTTCCCAATCAGTTGAATTTGCACACATTTGCAGACATGGAACTGGGATTGGAATGGAATCCAGTCAAGAGAGGAAAAACTAAATAATCTGATGATTTTTTTTTTTATGTTGCATTTTATTCTAGATGCTGGGATTAGATGCTCTACTGTACTTCTTCTAATCTGAGTAAGAACGGAATAAAGTGTTAACGTCCTCCTCTCTTTAACCCAAACCTTCTGGATCATTTAAAAGTTGTACTGTATTGTTTTCCACATGACTGCGAAGTCCTCTGAAGCCAGTGTTGATATGTTAATCACTCCCAGATGCTGCGAGTCTTACTTCACTTCCTGTAACAACTGCTTTATCAGCTCTTTCAAGGCCGTTTGTCGTAAACACCGGAGAAGATTAAAGGTTAGCTTGGACTTTGGAAACTCCTGAATAAACCTCGGAGCCTCAAAAATCCAACAAGCGTTTTTCGATGTTGAGCTTACAAATGACTAAGGACTACTTTTATGATTCAGCAGAGTCAAAACAATTTATTCAGCTGCCATCTTAGATGTTTAGAGCTAACCTGCGGTGTTTGTGTAATCTGATGTACAGCGTAAGCCGCAGTTTGGCTCATCTCAGCAAACACTGCTACAGAAAAAAAAACTCACTTTAGTTATTTTTTCTCCCGATAAATAAAAAGTGCAGTTGATAGTTTTTTGGCTCACGTGTTGTTTGGAAAGGGAGAGGCATGTTCTTTGGGGTAAATTAGGAAGGGAGGGATACCGACAGGGGATTCTGTGATGATAAAATAAAAAGGATTAGACAGACATAAGCAAACGAGAAATGTTTGGGATTCAGAGGAGCAATCGGAGCGTGAACTTTGAGCAGAATGTGTATGCAATCAATCAGATGAGCAGTTGGGTTCAATCATCAGCTTACAGCCAGGTGGTCAAACAGAAATGATGGTCAGCGAAAGATTACATCATCCGTCCACTTGGGTCAGATATCAGCAACATGTCCCCACAGACAAAACCCCGACACCTCGATTCTCCAGTCCTGCTCGAGCATCTGCTCCCCAGACCAGCTGGCATACACACCAACACACAGGAATACACATCTGTGTTTAAACGCACACCAATGTGCTGAAAATACATGCATTTACAAAAAATATGGATTCTTTATTTGTTGTAAAACGTTTGCAGCAAAGTGTATTCAAAAACAACGTGCAAACACTGTGATTATCTAGAAAATGTATTTAATTAATAAAAACCTTTGCCAATTAGAGGCTGCACATTTCGATCTCAGTAAAATGAATAAATGTTCACATGCGCCATTGGTTTATTTTGATCTTCGTGGTTTTGTTGGAAGTTATTTTATATAAACTAAGAGGTTAATAAATAACCATTGGAACAAATGAAGATATAAACTAAAATAAAAATATTTCTGTGCACAGCTGCTGAATACATAACCAAGTCCTTCAGGATTTCTGACAGTTTGGATCAAATCAACTCGCCTTGCTTATTCACAAAGAAAAACAAGTGTTGCACATTCAAACTCTAAACTACTGCAGCTGAGAAGGAAAAAAGCTGAGTGAAATACTTTAAACTTGTCAGTTTTTTGTGACTGCAGCACATTTTGTGTCATGTGACCGAATCATCGTCTCAGCAGGGGTTGCATTGCTTTGGAAGATGAAGTTACCGTATTTTCTGCCGTACACGTCGCACCACCCTGTAAGTCGCATCAGTCCAAATATGTCTAATGAAGTGGAAAAATCCATAAATGCATCGCTTCGCCGTATACATCGCATCTATTATGCGTCACCGCTGACAACCTGGAAATGTGGGCCGGTGTTGTGCCAAAAATCGATTGGCTGCCAAATGGCAGCCGCGTGCACAGGAGGACTTTAACAAGAATTTAACAAGATTAACGCTTAAAAACAATTATTTGTTTGCTCGAAAGTATATCAAAGATGTGTCTCAGTTGAACTTTTACTTAATAAATGCACTTTAATTGTCAAATTAGCTGCATTTTATCCGGGTGGCGCAGCAAAATTAAACTGATTTGACGGTTGCTCCAGGCAAGCTGGACAAAGGTAGCAACTATGGCAAGCCGATTGTGTCATTAATAGCCACTTGTACCTGTTGCATGACAACAGCATGCCATACAACTCGAGTTCCATCTAGCGGCTGAAAATGATAGTGTTCAATATTTTCCATCAGAATGAATGAAAACGGTCATATCTCAGCCAAAAATGGGTTTATAAATTTGGGAAAATCCATAAATATCTTGCTTCTGCATATAAGTCGCAGGGTATGCAATTTTTTCAAAAAACTACAACCTATAGGACGAAAAATACAGTCGTTGTTTTACTGTAAATTGCAATAAACATATAACATAAAATAAAAAAGGCTTATCCTTGTGCTTCAACTAAACTTTTTAATTTTTCATAAAATCCGTTGTACAATGGCAGAAATTCATTTTATTCACTTGAACACTTTGAACCCACCTTCAAGTAACACTAAAACAAGTTTTTGCAGCAGATCCTGTAACTGTCTGACTTTCTGAAAAGAACAATGAAAAGTGACAGACTGTGCTGTAATGGCGGTGTCGACCACAAACAGCTGCGATGGTTTATGGGTCATTCACTGCCGAGCTGGAAAAGCTGACAGGAACACAAACCAACTGAGAGGTAATGTTTGGGTGAGCTGAAGAGAAGTCATCACAAGTTTTTGAGCCAAAACCTGTCCAGAAATATGTACTTGTGTGTACGAGAGACACAAAGTGAGCTCTTCTTTGTTAAACAGTTTATTATATCACGTTTTGTCAACTTCTGTCACACAGCAACGACAAACATTTGGTGTTTGCTCAGTTTCTTTAACGGTCCAAGTCTTTAACAAAAGGTGATTTGTTTTTTTGTCTTTGTATCTCATGTGTGCCAAATAAAACTAGTTCTGTGTGACTTTCCTGTCCAGGTATGCACTTGCTTATTTTCTCCAGAGGAAATTTGTTTTAAGCTCAATTTGCACCATATGCCCCTTGAACACATCGAAAAGTCATTTCATCTCTCTTAAATTCCACTTTTTTTTTTAAAGTGGGAATTTTTTTTTAAAGGTTCTCTTTTTTTAATCTGTTAAAATATTAATGAGAGAATAAGTAAAAGCCAAAAATCAGAAGAAAATAAAACATCTAAACACTTTGACACAACCACCTGATTTAAAAGGCTCAGTTTCCATCACCCACCGATATTTTGGGAAAATGAAACAGTTATAAATAAATATATTTGGTCTGTTTCGGTCTTGTTCTGAAGGTTTTAATATTTGCTGTCGTCCAAACAGCTCATTCAGTTCTTTTCCTTCTTGTTGATTTCCTCATCAGGGCTGAAGTCAGTTCCTGGAGACATCCCTGATGACGCCACGCTGCTGGACCTGCAGAACAACAAGATCACTGAGATCAAGGAGAATGACTTCAAGAACCTGAAAGGACTACACGTAATAAACATTTCAGATTCATTCAATCACTTCGTGTCCACTGCTTGGGTTTGTCCCAAATTTGCGCACTGTATAATCCATGTATACAGCTTCTTCTGAAATGCAAATCAAGAGTTTCACATTTCATTTAAATCAGCAAAAAACTTCTAATCAAAAGGAAACAGATCTAGTTGTGCTTTTTCCCCTCTGCAGCATATTTCGTATAAAAAGCAGAGGAAGAATAATCTTTGTGGTAGTTGAGAAAGTGGTACTTTTAAATATTTGGTCAATGTGGGGAAAAGGTTTATGGTAATTAAAAACTTTTTCTATAAATTTTCTCACCTCTCAAAGAAAATTGGACCTCTAAACCAAACAAATAAAAACAGCCTTTCAGTGGCTTAAAAAAAATGTATATAGCTGCTGAAAATAAGTAGAGAAGAATCTTGACTTGATAATTAAGCTGTCAAAAAATGTCAAACATTTACCAAATTAGAGTTAAATTCAGTCCATTTTGTCGACGTCACATTCAACCAAAACATCTCCTCTTTCTCAGCCAGCCAAAACACCCAGAATAAAGCAACACCCCTCTGGTTTCCAGCTGCGAGGAAAATATTCACCCAAAAGGTCTTCTAGCCACATGTCTCCTGACCTTCATGCAGTAAATACCTTTCTCTGACAGCCAAGGCCGTTTCCAATGTATTGGAAAAGACCACATACCATACATTGCATGCTGTCCCGTTTCCAGCAAAAATGTGTTTTGGAGGATAACTGAACTTGGATTTAAGTACCAAGTCAGAGAATCCAACAGAAAATGTGTTCAAGGAATATTGTCTGGACTAAATGTCTTATTACAAACCTCAATGCATTTAGGTATAGAAGAAATAAGTTTAAACAAATAAGGGTAAAGTTACAAAAGTACTTCAAACACCATAAAAATGAGACACCTAAACTAGAGCAAAACTTATTTAACAATTGCAGCTGTACCCAGATAAAAGGACCGAGGAGAACAGATACCAAGACTCAGAATGAATTTACAGTGTTTTATTTACAAGTGGTAAAGTATGCAACAAGCCAGGGATGGAGCTGGAACCCTGAAGAGCAAAGAGATGATTAGTGGTCTTGTAGGCAGGAGTGACAATGTTATTGTTGATCTTTCTTACAATGGAGGTCGGAGTCAGTATTGGGGAAAGTTGACCCAAATGGTGAAGAAGGTGTATGTCTGAACAATGGCATGCGATAGGCAAGTGGTAGGAATGTGTGGAGGCAGGTGAAGAGGCACAGAGGAGCTCGAGGTCCACAGAGGAAGATCCAAGAAACAGGAGGACATCAGGGATTAATCGCTGGAGGCTCGGAGAGCATACAAGTCATTAATATTTAGTTTCAGTCACAAGTAAAAGGCTAGGACAGAACTATCGTTGGCAGGTAATGCTCCAGCGCTGGCTGAATGTCTTCTGCAGCCTTTTATGCTCCTCATGCTCATCAAGTCGATGATCCTCAGGTGCTGCTGATTAGAGTCTGGCTGTGGGTGCAGGAGCTGGCAGAGCAGGACTCCCACAATTTGTAACCAAAAACCATCTCTATTGATGTATTAAGTTCATATTTTTTATCCAATTTCGTTACCACATCGTTTTTTTGTGAAGTAGCAATATACCCTAAGAGGTAAAATTACAGTATTTTAGTCCTTTTTACTGTTATTCCTCATTTTAGGCTCTTATCCTGGTGAACAACAAGATCACCGTCATCCACGCCAAAGCTCTCAACCCTCTGACGAAGCTGCAGCGCCTCTATCTGTCGAAGAACTTGCTGAAGGACATGCCGGCCAACATGCCCAAGAGCCTGCAGGAGCTTCGAATCCACGAGAACGAGATTAGCAAGATCAAGAAGGCCTCCTTCCAGGGAATGTCTCACATGATCGTCATGGGTATGAGACAAATTTTTTTTAAAATTAGTTTCAAAATACGCATAAAAATGTAGATCTTGGCAACTATGGCAAGCACAAAGCCAAACTTGTTGGCAGCAGCCCGCCAGTAAAAGCAATGATTTTGTTTTGGATGTTTGGATTTGGATTAGTTTTGATTATAATCTGCACATTTGGTCCCATTCTATGGAACAATGACTCGTGTGGGCAACAGGAAGACTTGGTTCAGTTACAGTACAAGGACTTCAGCCAGGGAATTTAGGCCAATAATGGTGGCTAAGCCTGTGCCATGTTATTTCTTCTGACCTGTTGGATATGTATCAGGAGCTGGCTAAATCATTTTGGTTAGCTAGCTAGGAAGTAGGAAATTTCTCATTGTGGTGACCAGTTCGTTTTGTTTTTTTTCCTTGAAGACTTGATTCAAGAACTGGAGATACGATTCACTCTTTGTCATGTTAAATACAATAATAAGAAATTTGGTATTCCACAGTTAGAAAGTGGGAAACCTGGTTGCATGTTTATGTCCTGCTCAAGACTAATAAGCTAGCTCTTAGTTTTCCTTTACTTTAGTATCTTCTTATGTGTGTACTTTCAGTTATTATTTTGTTCACTCTTGTGTTTCCAGAGCTTGGATCCAACCCTCTGAAAAGTGCCGGAGTTGAGGCCAATGCTTTTGCTGACCTGAAAAAGGTCTCTTACATTCGAATTGCAGACACCAACATCACAGACATTCCCAAAGGTAAATATCTCATGATTACTTCAAGTAATTGTAAAATAAATGGATAAATAAAAATAACAATAAACAGAGCTACAAAGAAGCCTTCCTTTAGATTTCATAGACAAAAAAAAAAAAAAACACTTCTGAAGTAGTTTCATAATGTCACATTAGATTGAAGTTAGTTGCTATTTAAGTTGTTTCTTTTCTCTTGCTGTTAATCCCTTTCTTTTCTGTGGCAGGTCTGCCCAGCTCTCTCTCTGAGCTTCACTTGGATGGAAACAAGATCACCAAAGTGACATCTGAAGGTCTAAAAGGTTTGAAGAACCTGGCCAAGTAATAACCGTCTAAGTTCTCCATTTGAAGCAAATGCATCATTTTCTGCAGTGATACAATGACATCCTAAACTAACCACCTGTAACAGTTTATTGCATTGATAACATAATGACGTTTTTCAGAAGCTTTAAAACAAACTCCTGTTCCTTGTTATTCCTTACATGACTCATCCATGTGCTGATATTCCTCGCAGGCTTGGACTGAGCTACAATGAGATCAGCTCTGTGGAAAATGGCTCTCTGGCTAACGTGCCGCATCTGCGAGAGCTGCACCTCGACAACAATGCCCTGATCAGCATTCCTCCTGGCCTGCCTGATCATAAGTACATCCAGGTATACACACAGGTTTTATAACATCATATTTAAGTTATTTGAATGTCACAATGTCATTAAGTCCTATATTGTTCCCGAGAAAGTTGTAATTCCATATACTAGGGATGCACGATATTGGATTTTTGGCCGATATCCAATATGCCGATATGTTAAAACTTATTTGGCCGATAACCGATGCTGATACAGATATTGTATATATGTTCCTTTGTCAAAACAGAGCCCTCTTATTTTGGCTTATTTGCTACAAAAAATGTGCAACAGCTGTAAGAGCTGGTGACACATATTCAGTAACAGCCATATGATATGAATAGCACTTTAATTTGTATTAAATGAAAAGTGTTAAATGTTATTTATTAGCATTAGTCACCTGCGATGCTGTCTCACTTATGGAGGCTTGTTCCAGGTTCCTAGCTGCAGTGTGGGATCCTCTGCACTCCTGTGCATGAAGGACAGCCTTTTTAGGTTCAATGTTTTTGTCTATCCATTGTGACGTAAGACTAATCATGCTAACGAGGCTAACACGACGTCCAAATGTCTGTGGTAAAACTCACCCAACAAGTCATGCTATCCGCTATTAGGTTCTCAATGACGTCGGAAATAACGGCTTGTAACTCGGGTAACGTTACATTAGAAAAATATCTCCGACTGGGGACGATGTAGCGAGGCTCAACATAGTCCATAAATCTTTGGAATCCGACATCCTCACCAACAAAAAAAATAAAACTTCCATACCGCCAACATTTTGAAATTCCCTCTCCGCCGTGAGATCGGGTTGGTGCACGTGACGTCATCACGTTGTGCTGCCACTGCAGGCAAAAACAGTGCCTTTTATGTCGACGAGTTATTTTAATGGAATGGCCGATGTCCGATACTGAACTTTAACGCTAATATCAGCCAATACCGATACCATGCTGATAATATCGTGCATCCCTACCATATACCCAAAACATTGTTTCTCATGTCTCAACAAAACAAAGTTCATGACATACAGTTTTTGCTTCTGGTTTGTTTAGGTTCAACTACCAGATTAAAATAACCAAAATTTTAATAACTAAAGCTACTTAAGTAGATACAGTAGATGGCTTTTGTACCATATTGGATCAATTTTGCAACATATAGGGTCATGTCAAAAATAACTCCCAAGTTGAGGGAGAGCTGCTGCTTTAAGCAAAGAGTTTAACCCTCCTGCTGCCCTTGGGTCAAAATGGCCCAGAAGACCCTAAACTTAACACTGAGGCCTCATGTGCTCTTGTTTAGTGTCTACTTCAAAAGTGAGGTAAAATGGAGTGAGATCTTGACACATAAATTAGAGCAATGCAGTATTTTTGTAATCACTGCACAATTGTGGTAAAGAAAGAGCTTTGATTTACCAATCAAACACATTTAAGCCGTTCTAGAGAAATGAGACCAAAACCTTTGACCCACAAGGGACTTGCAACATAAAAAGTGACTGAATTATTCATTCTTATCAATACTGCTGATAGGCAAAAATCAGCAGTAATTTAAAATATATATATTTCTGGAGATCATCTCAAGGACTCCTACCTGGTGTTTCATGGCCCACAGGGGAGCGGTCTTGACCCAAACTTCGAGACAAAATTAGCTTTTTTTCCATACACCTTAGTGAGAAAGTAGGAAGCTTTACCATGCAGGAGGACCAAGAAAAAGAGCTTTGTAACTTTCCCATTTAAGGAAACCAGTTGGATTAGTAGTAGGCAAGAATGCATTTGTGACTTCTTATCCCACAAAAAGAAACCCTTGTTGTAAAACCAAGAGAGATTATATCCAACGGCAGACTTGGTAACGCTTTGGTTTCCCCCTGCAGAAGAATCTGGGAATGTCTGTCCAGATTTGTCCACTCAACTTAATCTTGAATCAGCTATAGGAAACTGACAAAAATATTTCACTTGAGCTGTTATCATTCATCTTGACACATATCATTATCAGTTTTATTTGCTTTAGTTCGATAAACTGTAATTATTGCTAAAGGCGTCTCATTCAGTAACCAAATGCTGCCATTACATAAATCCCCTCTCCAGGTGGTCTACCTCCATGCCAACAAGATTGCTGCTGTGGGAACAGAGGACTTCTGTCCCCCTGGCTTCAACACCAAGAAGGCCATGTACTCTGGCATCAGCCTGTTCAGCAACCCCGTCCCTTACTGGGAAGTTCAACCGATCACCTTCCGCTGTGTTTTTGACCGCTCTGCTATCCAACTCGGAAACTACAGGAAGAAGTAGAGCCGAGCGTCGCTACAAGGAAGAGTGTGTTTGTAGATGAGCGCATGAAAGATTTGTGTGTTAGACCAAACCCCCGCAACACTGACCCCCTTCATTTCCAACACCGCCACCTCCTGAATAATAATAATATTAATATACACTCACAATTCAACACTTTACTGCACATGAACCTAGAACCCAACATAATCATTTACAATATCTAGCTTCAAGGATTCAGTTATACACAAAACTTATGGTGGCACTCCAAAACACAACATATCAGTCACAGAACCAGTTAAGCAAACATACATTTCAGTGTTCTTGTGTTCTTGTTCTTAAATGCAGAAATGAACCAAAACCAAAAGATTTTAAACCTCACTTAGTGGAACAAAAGCTACAGATCTGGGTTTGATTGCATTTTTCAACTGAAGCAGGCCTGTAGAGCAGGCAGCAAGGGGAATCTGTGTTTAAATCGTTGTTAACCTGTTTTTAGAATGTATTAGATTTTTTCTGTGCAAGAGGAAGAGCATTCAGAGTGAAACATTGATTATTGTGAAAGAACTGAAGTTTCTATTTGTATTGAGCTCAATTCAAGTAGAGATAAAAGCAACAATGACTTCTGCCATGTTGGGCTTTTTTGTGCTTCTGTGCTGTTTTAGTTGTTAAAGTTTTTTTTGTTTGTTTGTTTTTTACCATTTTCTGCATTTCATTCATCCATGTCTGTTTGTTTTCTCCAAACAAGTTGAAAACAGCTTCAAAACTTCAGAATAAATCATATATTTCGAAAATCAAAAGCCATTCCCAAAAATTATATGCATGCTTTTAATTATTTTTGCCTTTCAACATGAACTGAATGCTTTTCTGGACTCTTTTGTTAATTTGTTTGTGTTTCTCTATTTTTATTTGCTTGCCCTTTATTTCTTTTTCTTAACAGTCAAGAAAAATTGGAGGGTGCATCCGCAGCACTCATGTTGGTGTGAATGTTTTCTGTATAGGCGCTGTATATAAACGCTGTATAAAAAGAAATCTCATTGCTTAAAGGCACAAGCACTTACCATTGCTCAGACTTAATATATCTGCAACAAAGGTGTTTCTCTTTTTTTCCCCGGAGCAGGGGCTCCAGCTAAGGTGTCCTGAATAAAATAAAAATACTAATAAAAAGCAGCAGTTTTCTTCATGTTTGAAAAAAACTTAAATTTGCATCATCATCAATGGGGCTTCAGGGGACTAGATGGCATTGCACCACGAACTCAAAGGCAGAAAAGACAGGATAAGTACTAAAAGACAAGACAGGGAACTATATACATCTATCCATCCATCCATCCATCCATCTATCTACATATATGTACACACAAAACATAAAAAATTGTCAAAATAGGCAGTGTGGTTTCCAGAAGTGTTCGGAATTTGCTGTTTATTTAAGAGATTTTTAGAAAAACATGCATTAAAAAAAGTTTCATTTTGGATGCGTTGTATGTAATAATAATAATGAGAAATATTAACGATTTTTAAAAAATGAAATAAGAGTGGTTCTCCACATATTTCTACCTTATGGGCACTTCAAAGCTGATCTATCCCTTCTATCACATCCTTCCTGTGAACAAAAGCAATCATTTCTTGCCATCTGGCAACAATAAGTCACATTACAGATGTGCCGCCGTGCCACAGAAACTACTCTCCTGCCAGAGTCAACATGGGTCAGATTTTTTTTTTTTTTTTTTTCAAGAATTGCACAGTGGAGTCGAATCACCAAGTTCAAGCACCCAGAAAGATGAGCTTTAGAAACACTGGATCTAAACTTTTAGAACTTTAATTATGACATATTTAAAGTTTCACATTCTTTGCTAAATGATAATAAAATCTGCTGGCTTGTAATGACCTCAAGTGCAGTTTTCATGCGCAGATGTTAACACTGGAAACCAACTGGACAGGATGCACTGCACCCCTTCATATTACTTTGTATATGGCTCTATATATACTAATAATGAACACAGTCAGTATACAGTCATCCAGCCACCATGTTTTTGGTTTGTGGGAGGAAACCTGTGCTCCCACGATACATCATACAGACACACAGGGAACAAGCAGGGAAGCACTTTCAGTTAGAGACTTTATAGCTATGAAGTGACAAAGTGGGACAAAGATTAAGCTATTCAGTTTCAGAAGTTTGGGTAAGATGAATAAGAACAGAGAAAGGAGTGGTACGGAGAAAAACTAAGTTATTTTAGTTTTACTAGCTTCTGTGTTTACCCTCCTACTCACATCGGTGGGTTTTGTGGTTATATATGTTTGCACAAGGAATGTTTATGGTCTGTGCACGCTACAGATTTATAATTCTTAAATCATTTAGCCCATTCTATTCAGAAAATGTAAGTAAATCAATTAAATGAAGTCCCACGAGATTTTTAATGACTGAGACTCAAGTTTAATGATTCACGTTTATTAACTTATTTAGAGTACCTCACACCTTCAGTTCTATGATATAGTATAAAAACACATGAAATAAGTTAAATACTGAACCCTAGGGTATTCTAAGTGGTGTCTATTTTATTATCACTATCCTGGGATTATAAAACAGTTATCATTTTGTTTGTCCATTTATCTCAACAATGGCTACTGTTAAAAATGGGACAACTTCATAGTGACTTGTTGGTTGATTCCAGTCCAAAAGTCAGTCTTTTCTACAAGTTTACATTAATTTATCAGTCTAATGAGCCAGATCTGAAAACAAAATATGGAATAATTAACTTGCAATTAAAAAAAAAAAGTTTTAAATTTTAATAAAGCCTACTAAGTCAGGTTCAGGTACTCAAACATTTAGTTCATGAATATTTATGGCAATATGTTGCCATTTTGTTGTTCATTCCTAATAGCGCAATGGTTTTATTTACCTTAAACCAATTTACTTTTTAACGCAAGATGCAACAATTTGTTTTTACTACTGCCCAGTTTTCCCCCATATATTTTCTACAGTAGCCCAGAAGGCACAAACCAGAAGACAGGCTCTGTAAACATCTATTATTTTTACATATCCAATTCTTCAGAGCACATATTGTAAGCAGCAAGGATAAAAAAGGTAAATAAGACTCAAATAAGGAGGAGTAAAAATGTGAAAAACATTTTTCCTCTTCACTAAACTTGAAGTAACATATGGAGATGATCCTTGCCCCCCCCCCCCCCCCCCCCCCCCCCACCCCCCCCCGCACAACCCACACACCCCAAGAAGCAAAAAGAAAATCAGATAAGACAAAAGAAGGAAAATT